AGCTGTGGCACAACCACTGCCTGCGAGACTTCAAGAACGAGAAGCCCGAGGAGTTCGAGTCGTGGCGGGAGATGTACCTGCGGCTGCACGACGCGCGCGAGCAGCGCCTGCTCATGCTGGCACGCAACATCGGCTCTGCCCACGCCAACAAACCCAAAGGTGGGGCTGGGGGAGCCCAGCTGGGTTAAAACCAGTCCAGTTCTCTCTGGAAGGTTTAACCAGGCTTAGCTCTGTGTGCTCCCTTGTTTCGTGGTTTAGCGGTGTCTTGATTTCATCCACGATGGTGTTGATGCAGCTCAATATTTTACAGCAATGGATGAGCAGGCTCCTGTTCCATGTGGCTTCTCCATGCTGGCATGGAAAAGAACCAGGGTCGGGGGAAACATTTCTGGTTTTTGGGTGAACATAATGAGAACTGCTGAGCTGATCAGTCTGATTTCTCACTGTGAGAGGTCTAGACCTTAGGAAGGAAACTGTCCCTATTTCTTTGGAATGGATGGAATGGGGAGAGGTGGATGAAGTATCAGTAGTAAGACAAGCAGTGAGGAGCCTCCTTTATAGCCAGCTGGATGTAAGTGATGTTTCCCTCTGGCCTCTTGCAGGGAGAGTGGCCAAGATGGCGTTTGTGAACTCTGCAGCGAAGCCCCCTCGGGACGTTCGGAGGAGACAGGAGAAGTTTGGAACTGGAGGCCCTCTTCTGCCAGAGAAGACCAAGTGAGTGTTTCTCTGTAGCACTTGCTGCTCAGGGCCCCTTGAAGCTCAGGAGAGGATACTGTGTGTCTGGGAGCTCCTTTTGCAGGGAAACTTGTAACTCTAATCGCCTGGGGAAGTGCAGAGATCGGGGTCACTGCTGGTTTCACCTTGTATCAGCCCTGCTGCTGTTACAAACCTGCCTTGTATCTGTAGAATCAGCTCAAAGTGAATCCTTCATGGCAATGCCTGTCCTGTGTCTGTTCCAGAATAAAACCAGTCCTGTACACACCCAGCAAAAGCCACGCTCGGGCCAGTGACGAGCAGTCCTACGATGGGCCCAGCACCAGCAGCGCCCACTCGGTCCCGTCTTCAGGTAGCACCTTCTCCTCCTACGACCCCAGGAAACCCCCTGTGAAGAGTAAGTACAGCCTTCAGCACATCCCTGTGGCCTCTGAGAGCTTCTCCTGCCCAAACAGCTGCTTCTGCTGGGGGAGAATTCCAGGCTGTGCCTGAGGGCTGGTGTTGGTGTCTCTCCTCTCTCTGTTCAAACTTGTTGCATGAGGAGCAGCAAAGGGAAATATTTGATTCACCCACTCAGAGCTGACTGGATCAGCCTGTCCTGATGGTGCCAGTGAGGCAGAACCTCTGTCTGTCCTCCTGCTGCCCTGTGTCTGTCCAGCTGTTTGGAGTTGGAGTGCAGCTGTCTCAGGAGGGTTTAAGCAGGGATCAGTGTTGGTGCAGTGCAGAAAGCAGTGCCTCCTCCTAGGTCTGTGACCTAAAAATTCTGATGGGCCCCGCTCAAACACTCCTGTCTGCCAGGCTGCAGCTTCCAATTGCTCTCAGCTCTTCCTCTATCACTTTTCCTTTCATGTGGGGGCTTTTTTGTTTGATTCAGAGGTGGTTTGTTTTTCTTTTTCTTTTGCAGAAATTGCACCAATGATGGCAAAGACTATCAAAGCTTTCAAAAACAGGTTCTCTCGGAGATAAGTTTGCAGTGCTGAGCTGGGCCTTTCTCTCTTGGGGAGGAGTGGCACTGGAGGGGGAGAAGGCACCCAAACAGCCCTTCCTTATCTTTGAACTCTTTGGAGGCTGCAGCTGCTGGGAGAAGCTTTGATCTGCACAAGATGACGGCACAGTATTTTATCTTTTATTCTGGTCCCTTTCTCAGTGTCAAGCCCCCCTCTTTTACCCCCTGTCCCCAGCATTCTGTTTCTGGCTTTGTCATCCCTCGAAAGAAGGGTGTACAGAATCTCCTGACACAGGAAAATGTGAAATCTTGGCACCTGCTGAGAATGGAAGATCCAGAGACTTATTTACAATTATTTAACCTCTTAATAAATTATAAAATGGTTTTAATTAATATTTTGCCCCTCTACCCTGTTGCATTATTTATGTTGCTCCCAGTAGTCCCTCCCCTCCCAACCCAGCCCTGGGGTCAGCCTTGGTGACTCGAGCTGGAATCCATCTGAGTGGACACTGGGTGTCACAGGAGCCTTTCCTGTCACCTGGTACCTGCTGGGCCCAAAGTCTCACCTGGAGACTCTGGGACAGGCAGGACCAGTGGCCCAGCCACTTGCCAGTCCTTTGGCAAATGCATCCAGCCCTGAGGCTTTGCTCCCTGCTCGTGTGTGTCAATAAAATCTGAGCTCTTGACCTTCTCTGTGCTGTTGCTGTAGATCCTGTACAGGTGCTTTTGTGGTCCTGCAGGGATGCCAAGAGCCTTTGGGAACGTTTCCTCTGCTGCTGTTGTCTTCTGCTGGCTACTGGGAATGGAACTGCCAGGGATCTGGGAGAACTTTTACTGTGTATCAAGTCAGATTTTAACTTTTTATCTGGAGAGAGATAGGGGACTTTGCAATGGAAGCCAGTTTTTAAATACCAGTGAAGGCATCATTTGCCTCTTTTAGTGGGAAGCAGGAAGGATTTCTTCTGTCTTGTTTTCTGTGTGGAATTGCAAAGGATTTGTTTCCAGTTGGGAAGCTGGTGCCTAAATCCTAAAGTCTTTTCCCTGTAGGTTTTGCTCTGTCCCTTCTTTGGAAAAATCCAAGAATTTTGGTCCTTGAACCTGAAACCACTTGAATGAGGTTGGAGGGAAGTGAGCAAGGGGATGTGGCTGTCGTTACACGTGTGTGTCCTTCAGAGCAGGAGTTCCAAAGGCTCCCTTGTGCCTGCTGTGTGAGGAGCTGGAGCTCAGGAAGGAGAAGGGGCTGGATGGGGGTGTCAGGGGGTGCCCTGGAGCCCCTGGAGAGGTCAGAGCCCTGCTGGGGATGTGGGGATGGCAGCTGGGCTCGCCAGGGCTGGACACAGCCAGGGGCTGTGCTGTGCTGTGGGAAGGTTTCTGCTTGTGGGGTGTGTCTGGGGAAGGTTTCTGCTCATGTTTTGTCTGCCCCAAAGGGAGCCCCAGGGGTGCTGCAAGCACAGGATGGGGCTGGGGAGACCCCAGGCCTCTCTGGGAGGGCTCTGGGGTCTGACAGGGTCAGGGAGGGGAGGGATTCTCCTGTTCCAAGCCATATTTGCTGCCCTAGGACTTTGCTGCCTGGGTGGAAAAGATGCTGGTGGTGGATGCTGTTGTTGTTGGCAGCTCCTGAGAAGCTCTGCTGTTGGCTTTCCGTGGCTGCCAAATCCCAAACCGGTGGAGTTGTCTGTGTGCACTGACCGGGGGAAACCTTGCTGTGAAGGGTCCTCCCTGGAGGGCTCTAGAAAAATCCCTGTTTTGCTTCTGGTTTCTGTTGGGTTGTCTGTTTCTTTCCTTTTTTTCCCCTCCTCCTTTAAAAGACATGTCTTTCTTTCAAACCATTCTGAACACCTGTCTCCTGTTTATTTGGTGTGTTCTTTGTTTAGTTTGGAATTCTTGGAAAAATGTTCTCAGACTCTCATGTGCTGTAAGTTTGTTACAGTCCCAGATGCTTTAATGTTCCCGTGCAGCATTTCAGTGCGTGTTGTGCTGTAAGATAATGGCTCCTTACTCTCCTGTGTTTTTGCTGTATTTAATTTTGCTGTATTTTTAATTAGATAACAATATATTCTCTTCTGCTGACCGTTGTGCTACTGTTTATTTCTCCTCTGTAGTCGGGGTGGGGGCAGAGGGGAGGGAAGCAGAGCCTGGTGTTGTTCAGACACGGTGGAGCTTTGAGCAAAGGATCTGGACGATGCCCAAGGACAATTCTGGGCACTGCTAAACTGCCAATTAATTGATCTCACAGCTCCACACTCAGCTGTGAGCATTGCTGCTCTGGGGAGATGCTCCTTCCCTCTCAGAGCTCCCCCTTTGCTCCAGGCTTTGCCAGCTGTGTCCATGTTCTGTTTGTGGCACTGCAGGGAGGTGACACTGGTGTCACTCTGCTCTCACAGGGGCGATGCCAGCCCCTCCTCCTTCCCTTCCTTTTGCTCGGGCACTAAATCCAGCCTGAGGAGGGGCGGGCAGCAGCCCTCAGCGGGGAGCAGAGCAGGGATATTTCCCTGGGGGACGCTCTAGGCAAAGTCTGGGATCCAAGTGCTCCTTCCCGGGCTCGGGCTGTGACACTGTGCGGTTGTTCTGTGCTCCTCCACACGCTGAAGGTGGAGCAGAGCTGCCTCTTCCCCCTCCCACCCCATACAGGATGAGTAAGGGCAGGAGGAGGGGGAGTGACTCGGACTCGTATTTGTATTTTGGTCCCAAACTGTGTATATATACAATTTTCTATGTTCCTTTTTTTGTGGTAACTAAGATGAATATTTTAATTAGATAAGTTATATGAAAAAAGAGGAGAATCATGTCTCAATAAAAGCCCACCACTGGACTGTGCCTGCTCGTTCTTTCCTCACGTTCACAACGACTGTTAAACAAACCACGGGGGAACTCCGTGGCTACTCGGAGGGTGATGCTCCGGTATCCCGCTCCCGGTATCCCGTTCCCGGTAGCCCGGCGGGGGTGCTGCTTCCGTTCCTGCGCTGTTTGGAACGATCCCCGCGGATAATACGGCCGGAGCCTTTCTAGCAAAGCAGCTTCGCCATTCCCCGGGCGGGGTGGGAGCACCGGGACCCCTCCCCGGCACCACCGGGACCCCTCCCGGGAGCAGCGGGCGGTTCACGGGCTCAGCACGTGCAGAGCCAGACCACGCCCATATGGGCGTGGCTATAACACATCGGACCAATCACCGGCTTACATGGGCGCGGCTATGGGTACAAGGGCGTGTCCAATTAATCTATTATGTGACGTCAGCGGGATGGGCGTGCCCTATGCGCACTGTGGGCGTGGTTTAGGTGACAGAGGGGCGTGTCCTCGCTGCCGTGTGGGCGTGTCTGGGCGTCGCGCATGCGCGCTGGGCGGTGCCGGCGCGGCCATGGCGCACGGGCACGGGCCCGGCCGGTGCCGCTGCTGCGGGGAGGAGGCGGCGGAGCGCGGCGCGGCCTGGGGGCTCTACCTGCGCATCGACCGGCAGCGCCTGCAGTGCCTCAACGAGCGCCGCGAGGGCTCCGGAGCCACCGTGTTCCGGCCCTGGGAGGAGCGCGGGGACCGCTCGCAGGTGGGACCGGGAGCAGGGCCCGGGGAGCGGGGTGGGCAGCGGGGCACGGAGGGGATCCTGCCCTCGGCTCGGCCCCAGGGGGGCTCAGCTGAGCGCGGTGTCCGGGTCTGGGCCGCTCAGGACGGGAGGAGCTGCTGGAGGGGGTCCAGAGGAGGCCACAAAGATGATTTGGGGTCTGGAGCGTCTCCCTGATGAGGGGAGAGTGCGGGAGCTGGGCCTGGTCAGTCTGGAGGAGGGAAGGCTGAGAGGACAACCCATAAAATACCCCAAGGGGTGTCAGAGGGCATCCCATAAACCCATAAAATACCCCAAGGGGTGTCAGAGGACAGTGCCAGGCTCTGTTCAGGGACAGGACAATGAGTAAGGACCATAAAGTAAAACACAAGTTCTACCTCAACGTGAGGAAGAACTTCTTTCCATGAGGGTGGCAGAGCCCTGGAACAGCTGCCCAGGGAGGGCTGGAGTCTCCCTCTGTGGGGACATCCCAAACCCACCTGGACGTGTCCCTGTGCCACCTGGTGACCCTGCCTAGACAGGGGTTGGACTGGGACAGCTCCAGAGTCCCGTCCAATCCTAAACATCTGGGATTCTCTGAGCAAGAGAATCAGGGCCCCCTAAACTCCAGCTGTCCTCACCACCCCCTGCACACCCCAGGCCAGCCCTGACCTGCTCTTCTCTGTCCCCAGTTCGTGGAAAGCGATGATGATGAGGAGCTGCTCTTCAACATCCCGTGAGTTCCATCCCTTGGCACCATCCTGGCTGCTGCCAGGGCTCCTTCCCCTGCCCTGGGGCTGCCTGGAGAGCAGAGGGGTGAGCATCCTGTCCGTGTGTGTGAGCAGGTTCACAGGCAGTGTGAAGTTGAAAGGAATCATTGTGATGGGCGAGGATGATGGGACACACCCAGCTGAGATGAGGCTGTGAGTAACACCAGCTCCCCTCCTCACAGGGGACACAAAATAAATCCATTTCTCTGTGGAGAAGAAGCTGGGCAGCTTTAATGGATGCAATCCAATTAACCTGCTGTTAATTACTCCCTGTCCTGCCAGGTTCAGGAACATTCCTCACATGTCCTTTGATGACACAGCCAAGGAGCCAGAGCAGACCTTCAGCCTGAGCCAGGATCCCCTGGGAGAGCTGGAATATCCCACCAAGTATGAGCCAAACCCTGGGCCCTGGGGGCTGCTCCTGCCTGCCACAGGAGCTCTGCCCACATTTGGGGCAGGGGCAGCACAAGGCAGAGCTCCCAGCTGCCCTCAGGAGGATTTATCCTCCCCAGCCCTGTCCTGCCCTCTGAAACTTCCATCCCAGAGCCTGGGGCAGGAATTCCTGGGGTGCAGGATCATCCTGGTGTCCTGTCCCCCCATCATGGTGTGAGGGAACCCCCCTTGCTGCGATCAGGGAGGGCTGCAGGAGCAGCAGCTCTGGTCTCAGGGTGTGTTTTCCTGCAGAATTGCCCGTTTCTCCAACGTTTATCACCTCTCCATGCACTTCCCAAAGAACTTTGGAGCTGAGACAACCAAGATTTTTTATATAGGCCTGAAGGGGGAGTGGACGGAGGTGAGTGAGAGCAGAGAGTGTGGGAGGGGCTGGGATCCTGCTTTCTCTGTGGGATCCAGCTTTTCCCAGTGGGATTCTGCTTTTCCCGGATTTTAAACGTCCCGTCTCCACCCAGGCTCATCGCCACGAAGTCACCATCTGCAACTACGAAGCCTCAGCGAACCCGGCCGACCACAAGCTGGAACAGATCACCCCCCAGACTCACTTCATCTCCTAACGGGAGCCCGCCCGGGGCAGGACCGGAGCAGCTCCGCGGCTGTGGGACAGACACGGCGGCGCGGTCGGTGCGAGGCATCCCGGGGGCGGCGGGGCCGCTCTGGAGGCTCCACCGAGCCGTGTGCGGGGCCGGTACCGGCTGTGACTGACAATAAACACGCTGCGGTGCAGAGCTGTGCGCTGTTCCTGAGTCGCGGCCCTCCCGGGTGGCACCGGCGCTGAGGCGGGGAGAGCGGCGTGTCCCCGTAACTGGTCAGCCGCCTCAGGGCGCTGCGGGAAGGGTGGGGCCGGGCCGTGTCACCGATAATCCCTGAGGGCCCGGCCGCGGTTCCGAGGGGCGTGGCAGGGCCGTGTCACCGATAATCCCCGAGGGCCCGGCCGCAGTTCCGAGCGCGATCCGGTTCCCGTTTCCATCATGGCCGCCCGGTCTCTCCCGGCGCTGTTTGCGTCACTTCCGCCGCGCAGCCGGAAGTTCCTGTGGGAGCGCGTCGGGGGAGCCGCGAGGAGCGCGCGCGCCGGGCCCGGGAGAGGTGCGGGGAGGAGTGGGGGGCGGCACGTACCACCGGGCACTGCCGGGGGGGGGCGGCTGGGGTGCAACCGGGCAGCGGCGCGGCGGGGGGGACGTACCACTGCTGCGGGAGGGTGGGGGGGGATTCCGTGAGGGCCGCGGGGATGTGGGGGGGGCGGCGGGGCCTTTAACGGGGATTAACGGCGGTGCACGGACGCGGTTCTGGCTCGGCGGGCCCCAGTGAGATAATGGGGCTCCGTCTTTCCGTCCCCGGGATCTCGCAGCCTGCAGGGAGCCCCGGTTCTGGCGGAAAACCGGCGCTCCCGGCTGCGGGGATCCCGCCTCCATCGCTGCAGCCCCCGCTGGATTCCGCTCGCTGCGGGGCTGTGGGGCCGGAGGAGAGGCTGAGGCACGGTAATTAACGCTAATTAATGTCCGGTGGCACCGGTGGGTGCGACACGGCGGGGATCGCACCCAAATTCACCTCCTGGTTCCGTGTTTGTGCCTTTACACCCACACGGGCACAGCTGAGGGGTTTCATCCCCATTGTGCTCCCTCCAGGAGCGGGGCAGGAATCCTCAGGCAGGAATTCCCAGGAAGAATGTTTGGGGTTCCCAGGAGGAATGTGTGGCGATTCCCATGAGGAATCTTTGGGGTTCCCAGGAGGAATTTGAGGATTCCCAGCAGGGATGTTTGGGGCAGCTCTGAGCATCCCAGGTTTCCCTGGAGCCTCCCCAGCCGGGACCGTGTCCCATCCCTGCCAGGGGACGGTGCTGTTATTCCTGGCTGTCCCTGCGTCTCCCTGGCGAGGTTTTTGGCAGGTGTGGTTTCTCTCCTGGCCGGTTGTTTTGCACGTGGGCCGTGTGGCTGTGTCAGATCCGGGGAGCTGCTCTGTTCCCGGTGCTTTATTTTTATTTGAGTGGGGAAGCTGCTGACGAGCAGTGGGTGGAACGAGTCGGGCAGGTCCTGGCCGGGCTGTGAGACAGAGCAGGCTGTTTCTCCTGGGTAAGGCTGGCTGCTGGCACTTTTGGGAAGCTTTGGGGTGATCTGGGATGGTGCTGCTGTGGGAGGCGAAGCTGGGGCAGAGTGTGATGAGGAAAGGACAGAGACAGGACCTTGGAGAGGCTGGAGCTGTGCCAGGGCAGGTTTAGGTTGGATTTCAGGGAAAGGTTTTTCCTCAGAGGGTGCTGGCACAGCCCTGAGGCTGCCAGAGCTCCAGGAGTGTTTGGACATCAGAAATGCTCAGGGTGGGTTTTTGGGGGGGTCTGTTCAGGGTTTGGGGTTGGGTGGATGATCCTTCATCCCTTCCAGCTCGGGATATTCTGTGATGGTGCTCTGGAGGCTGATCCTGTTCCTGGGGGATAAAGGCAGTGCCCTAAACAAGCTCTGATCTAATTAGTGCTGGTGGGTCAGCGGGGTCAGGGCAGCCTCGTGGGGAGCTGTGCTTTGTGATGCCGTGGGAGCAAACACCGTGGGCTGCCGTGGCTGAGGGCTGGGTGCTCTGTGGCATCTGGCAGTGACAGGACAGCAGTGGTGACCCTGCCTGCTGCCCTGGGGAGCCACAAGGCTGCCTTCCATCATTGGGGGGCTCCGAGCAGCTCCCAGTGCTCTGGTTCATCCTAACCAGCCCCATAAAGCAGGGCTGGACCTCTGTGGGGGCAGCAGAGCCTGTGCTGCTGCATGCCGAGGGTTTCCTGCTTCCCGCTCGGAGCAGATGTGGGTCAGGCTCCTGCACAGCTCAGGGCAGGGCTGCAGGGATGAAGGGATGCTGAGGCTGGGCTGCCTGACCACCCTCTGCCCACGCTGGTGCAGCCACAGGAACAACTTTGGCTCTGAGGTGTAATTTCCAGGCTAATTTTAACACTTCCAGCACCCCACGTGTGGAGTGTTTGTTTTTTGTTCTCCTGCCTCAGCTCAGGCTGTGTCCCGCAGGTGCCAGTGCCGACCCCTCTCGGTGTATGTGTGGTAACAACATGTCTGTCCCTCTCCTCGCCGACGCTGTCACCGTGTCAGGGGCAGAGCGGGAGACTGCCGCGGTAAGGGCTGCCCCTCCTTCCCTCCTTCCTTCCCCCGTGGAAAACGGAGCTGCTTCCATGAGCTCCAGCATGGCAGGGCCAGCTCTGTGCTGTCTGCTCCAGGCTGGGAGCTCAGCTTGTCAAGGCACTGGGGCTTAGGGCTGGTGGGGCTGTTTAAGATTTTAAAAGCAAATCTCCCAAAGGAACCCCCCCCTGCTCTGTCCTTCCCTGGGATCTGCAGGCTGCCTCCCCTCTGCCCCCCGAGGTTTAGGGGTTGCTGGAGCCTGAGATGAAAAGCCTGTGGAGGTGGATTTGTGATTCCAGGAATTCCTCCCCGGGAGGGTGGGCAGGCCCTGGCACAGGTGCCCAGAGCAGCTGTGGCTGCCCCTGGCAGTGCCCCAGGCCAGGCTGGATGGGGCTGGGAGCAGCCTGGGACAGTGGGAGGTGTCCCTGCCATGGCAGGGGTGGCACTGGAGAGGCTCTGAGATCCCTTCCAGGCCATTCTGGGGTTCAGGCTGGGCCTGTGCTCTGGTGCCAGTCCTGGTGGGATGATCTGTCACTCCTTGTCCCTGTGCTGTGCAGAGGAGCTGGGACCTGCCCGTGGCAGCTCTGTTGGCAGGATGACACCACATCCCTGACCCACCCATCAGCTGCCCCACGCTAATTTCAGCCTCTTCCCGTTGGTGACTAAGTGTCCATTTGCCACCTCCCTGCCAGCCCAGCCCAGCCCAGCCCTGCCCCCTGTGACTGTCACACCAGCTAATTCCCTTCCTTCTGTGTTTAACAGGTCATTTTCCTCCATGGCCTTGGAGACACGGGGTGAGTGTCCCTGGAGCTGGCTCTGCCTGGCATGTGTGGATTGCCAGATGCAGATCCCAGGATCTGTGTGGGGCTTTGGGCTGGGGTCTGCAGCCATTCCTGCACCAGCCTGGCAGGGAATGGCAGGGAATTGCTGCTGGCAGAGCTGTCTGCTCTTGAATATTTATGATCCCGGCAGCCTGGCAGCCCCCCACCCCCCGCGGGTGGATTTTGTGCTGCCTTTGGGGATTGCTGATAAGCACTGCTGATAAGCACTGCAGCTTTTCCAGGGCTGGCAGCTGGGCTGGGCCTGCTCGAGGGCATCCCTGCTCTGCAAGGCCACCTTGGGGTTCCGTGGTGGTGACAAAGGGCTCCTCCCTGTCCAGGAGAGTCCCACATCCCTGTCTGGACATTCCCTGCTCCCTTGTCTGGACATTCCCACCTCCCTGTCCTCCCTGCCTGCAGCTTTGGGGCTTTGTGGTCTCCCCCCAGATGGGGTCAGTGCTGGGGGGTTTCACGGGGGGTTCAGGCTGATGGAAGCTCAGGGGAGGGGTTGGGGGGCAGCAGGGTTTGGGAAAATGGCTCGGACAAGCCTTGGACTGATCTCCTGTCCCTCCCCAGGCACAGCTGGGCCGATGCTCTCTCCTCCATCCGCCTCCCCTACGTGAAGTACATCTGCCCTCACGCGTGAGTGCTGCCCTGGGGGGCTTCTTGGGGGGCTTCTTGGGGGCCCTGAGGCTGCCAAGGCTGCTGGGGGAGGCCTGAGCCCTGCAGGGCTGCCCAGCTCTGCTGCCATGGTCAGCTCCTGCTGCAGGCAGAGCTGCTCCCACAGTGTGAGCAGCACCAGAGGCTCTTTTCTTTCCCTTCCTGTCTTGTTTATCCCTGGTGGCTGCAGGGAGAGACAAACAAAGGCTCTGGAGCTTCTTGTGCATCCCTGCTCAGGCAGGAGGGGGCTCAGCAGGGAGGGGAGAGGTCTCAGCCTTCCTGCTCCCCTCAGACTTGACTCAACCCCCAAAATGTTCCTCCACAGGCCCCGGATCCCGGTGACCCTCAACATGAAGATGGTGATGCCCTCCTGGTCAGTGCTTTGGGGGACAGGGCTGGGTGGGACCTTTTTGGGAAGTGAGAGGGATGGGGGGACTAAATCCACTGTCCTGTGGGGCCAGGGAAGGGCAGAGCACCCCCAGCTCCTGCCTCCCCACACTCGGGTGCTGGGAGAGGCTTTGGCTGACCCTGCTGCTTCCCCCAGGTTTGACCTGATGGGATTGACTCCAGATGCACCTGAGGATGAAGCTGGGATCAAGAAAGCAGCAGAAAACAGTAAGGAGCTGTGTGAGGGGAGGTGGTGAGCTGCTGTGTGCCTCTCCCTTGCTGTGACTGCAGCAGGTGTCTTCCTTCCACCTCTCTCTCCTTTGTTTCTGCTGGCCTGTGATCCCAGCAAACCTTTCCCCTGTCCCTGATGTGCACCCTGAAGCATGGGATGATGCTTTTCAGCCCTTTTCCCTTTCCACTGACCCATTTCTCCATCTCCCTCCAGTTAAAGCAATCATTGAGCACGAGATGAAGAACGGGATCCCCCCCAACCGCATCATCCTGGGGGGCTTCTCACAGGTGAGGGTCCCCAGTTCCTGCTGCACCTGTCCCAGGGTGTGAGCTGGGCCTGAGGGTGTCCCTGCACCCCCGTGGGTCCACAGTGAGTGCCTGTTCCCCCTGCAGGGTGGTGCCTTGTCGCTGTACACGGCTCTCACGTGCCAGCACCAGCTGGCCGGGATCGTGGCGCTCAGCTGCTGGCTCCCGCTGCACAAGGCCTTCCCTCAGGTACCCCTGCCCTGGGCATGCTGCTCCCTCCCTCATCAGGAGGGCTCTGCTGGCTCGTGCTGGGGACACAAAGCACCCCTTGCCTGAATGTCCCCTCCCTCCCGGTGGCAGGCGGCGAACAACGGCGTGAACAAGGACATTGCCATCCTGCAGTGCCACGGGGAGCTGGACCCCATGATCCCCGTGCGCTTCGGGGCCCTCACTGCCGAGAAGCTCAAGTCTGTGGTCACCCCCACCAAGGTGCAGTTCAAAACCTACCCTGGAGTGATGCACAGTTCCTGTCCTCAGGTCAGTGCTGGCCGTGGAGAGAGGAGGTGGTGATCAGTGATAGGCCCGTGGGAATGGCCTGGAGCTGTGCCAGGGGAGGGCTGCGATGGATTTCAGGGAAAGGTTCTTCCCCCAGAGGGTGCTGGGCACGGCCCCAAGGCTGCCAGAGCTGCAGGAGCCTCTGGACAGTGCTGCCAGGGATTGTTGGGGGGGTCTGGGCAGGGCTGGGCTGGATGATCCCTGTGGGTCCCTTTCCTTTGGGACCAACCCCAGCACTGTAGGTCAGTCATGGTGGAGAACACATGGGATACATTTGTTCCTGGCTTGCTCTGGGAGGCTGCAGAACCCATGTGCCCCTTCTTGGCCTGTGGGGAGGCTGCAGAGCCCCGAGCCCCGTTCCCGGGGCCCAGCCCGGCCTGGGCAGCCCCGGTGTGACCGCCGTGCGCCGCCCGCAGGAGATGATGGCGGTGAAGGAGTTCATCGAGAAGCTGCTGCCCCGGATCTGAGCCGAGCCCCTCGGGACTGTCGCAGGGGAGGGTGCCGAGGTCCCGTGTGTCCCTGTGACCCGCCCGCTGCCAACGGAAGCCATGGCCCCCCCAGCGCACCTCCCGCCGCACCCCCCGTGCCCGCGCCCTCGCACCGCGTCCCCCCCGGCCGGGGTGCCCGGCTCTCCCGCTGCTCCCGGAGCCCACGCCGGAGCTGCCTAAGGCGAGCCTGGGAGTGGCCTTTTCTCTCCTGCTCTGGCTGCGGGCGGTTCCCGAGGGAAGGTCACCGTGGCCTCGGCGCCCCGCGGGGCTGGCACGGCGCGGGTGAGGTTTTGGGTTTGGGGTTTTTGTACCAGTATTAGGGGCGGGACGTGCCCGGCTGCGGCGGGAGGAGCGGGGCGGGGCTGGGGCACCCCCGGGGCTCGGAGCTCTGCCCTGGCCTCCGCTCAGGGGTTTTCAGTCAGAGCTCAGGAACCCGGGACTCCCCTGCGGACGCCTGCAGGCCCCGGGGTAGGCTCGGCCCTGGGCTGGCACCGCCAAAGGCTGCCCGGGGCCGCGGGAGGGCCAGCGCAGCTCCCGCACCTCCCGCACGGCCCCGCCTGTCACACACGCACACTCCCCTCAGCCATCGGGGCCGCTCTGCCCTCCTGAGATAATCACCTCCTTCCTCCTGCTCCTCCTCCTCTTGTTGCTTTTACAATCTCCATCCTAGAGGCATCTCCCCCTCCTCCCAGCCCAGCTCTGCACCCTGGGAGCCCCAAAGCTTCGTTTACACTCACGGAGCCACCGGCCCCGTCTTCAATGTCTTCTCTTGCTGCTACTCGTCCTTCCCTTTGGACTTGGGCTGGCTCGGGGAGGGGGGAGGTCCCTGCACCCCGGGTTTGGCTCCTGGTGCAGCTGGAAGGAGCAGCTTTGCTCCCAGCCATCATCTGAGCAGCATCTGAGCCTGGGTGCTGCTGTGCCCCTCCCTCTGTGCCCCCGGGGCTGTCCCTGCTCCCCCCCATGTACAATCACCTGTGGCTTGTCCCCTCCCGAGTGCTGGCTTCGTGCTGGGGCCCCGAATGTCTCCTCTGGGGGGGCTCCTGGCTGACCCTCCCCTCCCACAGGGCCCAGGGCAGTGGCTGTGGAGCAGCTCTGCCCTCACCCCCTTTCCCTGGGCTGAGCCCCCACTCGGGGCTGATCACGGCTTTTAGAACACCCCCACATTCCCCAGGGCTGGCCCTGCTCCCCTGCCCTGCCCCAGGGCCAGAGAGGTGGGGGCTGCCCTGGGGGGCTCAGCCCCAGCAGTTCTGCTCCAGCCCTGCCCCTCGTGCCCGGGCTGTGCAAAGCAATAACTGCCCTCTGGAGAGTGCATCGTGGGGCCCACCCTGCCTGGCCTCTGGCCTTGGGATTTTCATTTCTGCTCCTTTTAGGAAGTCTGAAAGCAGCAGAGCTGCTGCTGGCACTGGGGGCAGCCCAGCTCTGCCCTGCCCTGGGCTCTTGGATGCTGTGTTTTAATGCTGCTGAGGCTGGCAGGGGTGGGATGGCAGCTCCCTGGGGACACCAAGGGCTGGAGATGGACAGACTGACCTGTGTGACTGTGAACTGGAACCGTGTGTGACGGGGCCCGGGCCCATCCCTGTGCAGAGCATTCCTGCTCACTCCCTGCCCGAGCAGTGCCGGGACCCCGGGAGGGAGAACGGCTTCTCTCCATTCCTCAATACAGCTTTGGGTTCTTTCTTCTGTTTTTTTTTTTTTTTTCTTTTGGGTTTGTTTTTTTTTTTTTTTCTTTTTTTTTTTGGTTGTTCTTCTTCTCTCTCTTGTCTTCCTTGTACATGTTTGGGGGTTTTTTTTTGTGTGTGTGTGTGTGCGTTCCACAGAGAACCAAGGTGAAATAAATCCTCAACTTATCCCAGAGCTGAGCTGGCGTCATCCCTGGCCAGGCAGGATGGGAGATTTGGGGTGGATTTGGGTTCCATGAGGCCCCAGGGTGCCATTTTTAGGGGCAGCAGCTCCGGCTGAGGGGAAGCAGAACAAAGCTGCCACTTAGAAAGTAGGAAAGTTTATTTTAAAAACAAATCAAAAGCTCAATTCATAAGTTATTCATCCAGCCGCCAGCACACGGGGCCGGCTGCGTCATCCCTGCCCTGGGAGCTGCCAGAAATAAACAGGAGCAGTGTGGGACAGGAGGGCAGAGCTGGCTCCTGGCAGCCTTTGGCAAAGGGCTCTGGGAGTGGCTGCCACAGGAGCCCAGAGCAGGACCCAGGGGGCTGTGGGCAGCCAGGCCAGGCTGGCCCAGCCCTGGGCAGGGGCTTCTCCAGCTCAGCAGGAGAGGGGGGAGATGAGATTTTGGTCCCCAAAACCATGCTTGGGATAAAGAGGGGGAGTGGAGGAAGCCTTGGAATGTGAGTGGTCCCTGTGGGAGGTTTCTGGTGCCTTCTCTGTGCCAGGGCAGGGGCAGAGGTGCCTTGGGCTCCCCCTGAGCCAGGTGGGGCAGGAGGGAACAGTTTGGGCTCAGCAGGACTCTGCTGTCCCAGTGCTGGATGCACAGGGAGGGCCCAGGAGTTCCCAGCCCCAGCTGGCTGCAGCCCCTGAGGGTTCCCATGGGGTTCCATGCCCGTGGTGCCAAACCTGGCTCTGTTCTCTGTTCATTGTGGTTCTGCTCTGTGAGATCCAAAGACCTGGGGGATGAGGATGAGGAGGGGGGAGGCTGAGGATGCTCCAGCCTTCCTGCCCCGTGCCAGAGGCAGGAGGGGGAGCTGGAAGTGCCCTCCCAGGATGGTGACAACCCTCGGGGAAGGAGGCAGGGCTGGCTCAGAGCAGCCCTGGGCTCAGCCAGCCCTCGGTCACAGCTCAGTTCTTGCTGAAGCCCGTGGGGTTCTGCAGCTGCCACCGCCACAGGTCCTCACCTGGAACAGGAGGAGGGAGGTGAGGGAGGGCAGGGGGCTGGCAGTGCCCACTGTGCCAGGGAGGGGATGCCCTTACACATCTTGTCCAGGCCAAAGGCAGCTTTCCAGCCCAGCTCCCGCTCGGCCAGCGCGGGGTCAGCGTAGCAGGAGGCCACGTCCCCCTCGCGCCGGGCCGTGATCCGGTACTTGATCTGCAGGGAGAGCAGCACCGAGGGCTCGGGGGGTCCCAGGGGGCTGAGGGAACGGTGCCAGGGCTGCTGGGGGGAGCAAGGCCCTGTGGGGAGCAGCTGCTGCCCCTGTGCCCATGAACCCTCAGCTCTGCCCTTACCTCCCTCCCCGAGGCTTTCTCCATGGCCCGGACCATCTGCAGCACGGAGTAGCCGGTGCCTGTGCCCAGGTTGTAGATCTGGGAGGAAGATAAAGGACAGGGATCAAGGGGAGAAGGGCCAGGTGCCCCTTCAGCCCCCATTGGCACCCCCACACGCCCCCAGGGCTGGCAGCACCCCGAGGTTGGCACCTTGCAGCCGCAGTTCTCCTTGAGCTTCTTCAGAGCAGCGATGTGGCCCTTGGCCAGATCCACGACGTGGATGTAATCCCTGACTCCTGTGGGGACACAGAGGGTGAGGGCAGGGCCAGGGGTCTGGGAATCCCAAATTCCCCCCATCCCAAACTCCCCCTGTCCCGTGACGCACCCGTTCCATCTTCTGTCTTATAGTCGTTCCCAAAGACGCTCAGGAATTCCCGGCGTCCCACTGCCACCTGCACAGAGGCACAGCCCCATGGAGCCCCAGCACCCTGGGTCCCCTCCCTGGGAACCCCCAGGGGCTGTGGGGGCTGTACCTGAGCCACGTAGGGCATGAGGTTGTTGGGGATGCCCTGAGGGTCCTCCCCGATCATCCCCGACTCGTGGGCGCCGATGGGGTTGAAGTAGCGCAGCAGGACGGCGTTCCAGTCCTGGGGACACACGGACAGGGCTGCCAGGTCACCCCCGTGGGGACACCCCCGGTGTGGGACAGCCCTCGTGTGGGGGACACAGCCCCTTGGGGCGGCTCCTCACCCTCTCTGCTCTGCAGAGATCCCGGATCATCTCCTCAATGAAGAACTTGGATTTGCCGTAGGGGTTGGTGCAGCCTCCCACCGGGTGCTTCTCGTCCAGGGGGAGGTACTTGGGGTCCCCGTAGACGGTGGCAGAGCTGCTGAACACGATGTTCCTCACGCCGTGGGCCTTCATGGTCTGCCAGGGGCAATGGGCAGCACTGATGCAGCTCTGTGCCCTGTGCCAGCCCTCCAGGAGCGCTGGCAGGGCCTGGGCAGGGCAGAGGGAGCAGCCCGGGATCACCACCGGCCCCTCTCACCTCCAGCAGCCCGATGGTCCCGGTGAGGTTCACTCTGTAATATTCCAGAGGCTTCTGCACCGACTCCCCCACGGCCTTGAGCCCCGCAAAGTGCATCACGGCCGAGAAGTGGTGCTGCAGGGGGAACGGGCTGGGATCAGAGGCACGGCGGCAGGAACCAGCCGGGATCCCCCCAGGATCCCCCAGGATCCCCGTCCGGCCAGCCCGGGGCGCTCCCACAGGAGCGGGCACTGCGTTCCCTCCCTGCTCCCGTGGCTCCCACCCCTGACAGGGACCCCGGGAGCCACCCCGGGCCCTGCAGCTCCTGCTCTCACCTTCCTGAAGAGCTCCTGGAGCGCCGCCCGGTCCGTGATGTCGAGCTCCTGGAAGAGCACGGGCCGGTGCGCGATCTCCTGCACCCGCCGGAGGCTCTCGGGGAGCTCCTCGGAGCCTGGGGATGGATGGAGGGGAGTGAGGGGGGCTGGAGCCGGGCCCAGCCTGGCCACGGGGCCGGGACGGGGCTGCCGTACCTCGGATGGCGTTGTGGAAGTTGTCGATGACCACGGGCTCGTAGCCCGCCTGCAGCAGCTCCAGCACGCAGTGGCTGCCGATGTAGCCGGCGCCGCCCGTCACCAGGATGGTCTCGGCCATGGCTCCTGCGGGAAAAGCCCAGAGCCGGGGGTGGGCACGGCACGGCACGGCCAGGTACGGCACGGCCCGGCCAGGTCGGTGCTGCCCGAGGTACGGGCGGGGCAGGGCCGGTCACACCTCCCGGACACGGAGGTGGCACCTCCCGGAGATGAGCCCTGGTTGTTCCTGTTAAACCCAGCCCTGGGCTCACCCGTGCCCCTCAGGGCAGCAGTTCTCGCTGTTAATTAACTCATTGATTCATTAATTAATGAATGAATTGGGGTGGTCTCCGCAGAGTACCAGCCCTGCCCTTCAGCCGCTCCCTGTTTCCCCAGCCCCGCAGGAAGGGCTCGGGGACAGCCGGCGGTACCGGCGGTACCTGCGGGACCCCCGGCCCGGGGAGGGGCGGGAGCCCCGGGAGGACCCGGACCGGGACATTTCCCTCCGGAGCTGCGGCCCCAACCGGAGCCCCCCAAACTCCCGGGGCTGGGGAAACAGCACCGGGCCCGGGGAAAGGCAAAACTGTGGCGGATTTCAGCCGGGAGCGGGGACGGGCCCGGGAGGAGCGGAGGGTCCCGGGGCCGGGGGGGCAGAACGTACCCGGGGACTGGAATCGCTCTAGAGCCCAGGGGTGCCCGAAGCAGCGGGGGTTCGGGCTGTCCCTACCAAAGGCGGCAGGGCAGGGCAGCACACCCGTCCCCCTGCCCGTTCCTGCCGTTCCCCCCCGGTTCCCCCCCGGTCTCTCACCCGCCGCTGCCGCCGCTCCCGCTCAGCCCCGTGAGGGGCGCGGCCCCTTTAAGGCCGGGCATTGGCCCCGCCCCTCGGCGCCACGCGCGCGGCCCCTCCATGGAAACGTGTCAGGGCTACGGGGCAGCGGCGGGGACAAAACTCCGCGGGGGACGACGGCCATTGGTGCGCACGGGAGGGACCGGGGCCACCGCGGGGAGCTCGGGCAGCGCCCCCTTAGGGCCGGAGGAGGACGTTGCCCCCAAATCCCGAATTATTGCCCCAAAACCCCGAATTATTGCCCCATTCCGCCTCATTTCTGCGGCGTTCATTAGCGAAGGTTTGGTAACTGTTACAGTTTATTGAAGTCCTGTGGAGAGGAGGCACATGCAGCCTCACACCTGTCCTCGCCCTGAAAGGACAAAGCTCCTGTGCTCTCCATTCTCACAAATTAACTGCTCAATAAATTACTTTAAAAAGAAGAGTTGGGGGCGGTTCCCAAGGACCTGATCACCTGAGGAGTATCACACTCTCAGCTCTCAGGGTGTAAGGAATTCCTCACCCCCAGCCCATGATGGTGCAGAGTTTCCATATACAAGAAGCACTTGGAACCAAACCAGCAGCCAAATCTCCTGTGCTGGTGCAGCTGAATCAAATTTTTCACAGTTCAGACTATTAAATAATGTGTTTATTAGTCCTGGTGTGATGAGTATCTTACAACAGATACACAGTGCAGCAGCACACCCCTGAAGGCTGAGGTGGCACCAGGGGAGGTTTGGGCTCAGCCTTTGGCTGTTTGTGGAGGGGAGAAGGGAGGATGGACACACTGAGCAGGAGCTGTGCTCCAACTGCAAAATCTGTGCTTGTCCTTGGCCCTGCAGGCAGGAGCTGCTGCTCTGCCCAGGCCTCTCCTCTGCCCCTCCACGTCCTCCCCTCTCCAAGGCACATGGGGACAGCCTCAAGGTCCAATAGAACACAATCTAACAGGATATTCTCTCACTTCTTCCTAATTCTGGTGGATTTTGAGCTTCCTCTCAAATGCTGAGCCAGGAAGGAGCTCAGGAGGTCAGACAGGAATCCCAGCCAGGGCTGGATCCTCGATTTCTTGATCCAAGGAGAATTCCCACTCGGTGTCACAGTCTGCAGGAGGCCTGAGACACCTTGGAGTTGGTTTTTCTGTTCAGGGCATTGCAGATGAAGGTGCCTGTGTCCATCAGCTTCTGCAGATCCACGCCCTGCATGGCAAAGGCCCAGGACATGCCTTGAGGGACAGCTCCCCCCATCCCAGGGTGCCCCAGACCCCGTCCAACCTGGCCTGGGGCACTCCAGGGGCAGCCACAGCTGCTCTGGGCACCCTGTGCCAGGCCTGCCCACCCTCCCAGGGATATTTTTCCCTGACATCCCATCTCACACTCCCTCTGTCAAGGGGAAGCCATTCCCCCTGTCCTGTCCCCAGCACGCTCAGGCTCCTGCCCCGAGCTGAGGCCTGAGCAGAGCCTGGGGTGGCACTCACCGTGTGGATGCCCAGCCCGTTGAGCATGTACACCAGGTCCTCTGTGGCCACATTCCCAGAGGCTCCCTGGGCATAGGGACACCCCCCAAGGCCGGCCACGGAGGCGTCCACCACGCTCACCCCCATCTGCAAACAAACCCCGAGTCAGGGGCTGCTCTGGGAGCACAAAATCTGCAATTCCCAGCAAGCCCAAAATCCCCCAAGGGAAGCTGCTCCATTTGTGTGGCTGCCCCATCCCTGGAAGTGCCCCAGGCCAGGCTGGGTGGGGCTTAGAGCAGCCTGGGATGTCACAGACATCTGTTTATGAAAATCCTTTCTTAGGATTTTTTCCCTTCTGAGAAGCTGAGAGGCCTCAGAGACAAAATGTAACCAATGGTTATCTGCTGAATGCAACAGGTGCATCTGGGATTGGTCTGGTGTGGATGTTTATGATTAGTGACCACTCACAGCAGAGCTGGCTCTCACAGAACCACAGACCTTTGTTTTCATTCTTTTCTATTCTATTTTTAGCTTAGCCAGCCTTCTGAGATGAAGCTTTGCCTTCTATTCTTTTTACTATAGTTATAATGTAATATATATATCATAAAGTAATATATCAAGCTTTCTGAAATATAGAGTCAAATCTACCTCTCTTCCTTCATCCTGAAAACCCCTGTGACACTGTCACACTGGGACAGTGGGAGATGGGCAGGGGGTGGCACTAGATGGGCTTTAAGGTCCTTCCAACCCAACCCTGGCAGGATCTGAGGTGCAGAGCAGGGATCCTACCTGCAGGGCCACCAGGATGTTGGCCAGGGCCTGGCCATAGGTGTCATGGCAGTGAACAGCCAGAGCCCCCACGGGCACCTCCTTCATCACCACTGCCAGCATCTCCCTCATGCTGCCCGGGGTGCCCACGCCGATGGTGTCCCCCAGGGAGATCTCGTAGCACCCCATGGAGTACATCTTCTTGGAGACCTGGGCCAGGGCAGCAGGGCACTGAGAGGGCATCCTCCCTGCCAGAGCTGATCCCTGCTGTACAGCAATCCCCTGGAGACCCCTCCTTCCCTCCCAGAGCTGATCCCTGCTGTACAGCAATCCCCTGGACACTCCTTCCCTCCCAGAGCTGATCCCTGCTGTACAGCAATCCCCTGGAGACCCCTCCTTCCCTCCCAGAGCTGATCCCTGCTGTACAGCAATCCCCTGGACACTCATTCCCTCCCAGAGCCCATTCCTGCTGTACAGCAATTCCCTGGAGACCCCTCCTTCCCTCCCAGAGCTCATTCCTGCTGTACAGCAATCCCCTGGACACTCCTTCCCTCCCAGAGCTGATCCCTGCTGTACAGCAATCCCCTGGACACTCCTTCCCTCCCAGAGCCCATTCCTGCTGTGCAGCAATCCCCTGGAGACCCCTCCTTCCCTCCCAGAGCTGATCCCTGCTGTACAGCAATCCCCTGGAGACCCCTCCTTCCCTCCCAGAGCCCATTCCTGCTGTACAGCAATCCCCTGGACACTCATTCCCTCCCAGAGCCCATTCCTGCTGTACAGCAATTCCCTGGAGACCCCTCCTTCCCTCCCAGAGCCCATTCCTGCTGTGCAATTATTCCCTGGACACTCCTCCTCCCCTCCCAGAGCTGATTCCTGCTGCACCATCATGCCCTGGGCACTCCTCTCTGAGATTAAAAACCTGCAGGTGCCCAAACCCCCCTCAGTTCCCCATTTTGGCCTCTGAGAGCCTGGATATTCCCTTATATATCCCCCCTTATATCCTGGATATCCCCAGTGCCCACTCCACATCCCTCAAAATCAATCAGAACCCTCTCAGGAGTCCTGGCTGTATTTATGAGTGACTCACCTCTGCAACTTTAGCTGCAGAAATCTTCCCTTCATAGGGACACCCAAGGACACAGGAGACGTACCTGTGGTTAAAAAAAACAAACAAACTTTTAGCTGGAAAGGGGCAATGGGATTCTACTGGACAAACCAGTCAGGACTTGTGCATCTTCCATGTCTGTAAGTTGGGAGAATCAATTTTATATTCCAGTGGCCAAAGGTTACAGGATTTCACCAATTTTTTCTTCCATGGGTGTAAAATTTGCCAAGATGAGCCCAGAGGGCCTGCTGGGGGTGTGATCTGTGCACTTCCATCTGGGATGCTGGCCAAGAAAATCTGATCCCAGATGAATGTGGGTGAGTTCCAGCAGGAAGCCCTTACCCCCTGACAGGAATGCTGGCTTCCTTCGCTGCCCTCATCACCTCCTCAAACCTCTCCAGGCTCTCCTCGATGGAGCAGTTGATGTTTTTCTGGGTGAAGAGCTCAGATGCTGCCCCAAAGATTGACACCTCTTTGGCCCCTGCTGCCACCTGCAAATAAAAAATCCCAAACTGGAACCACAGCACCACTGAGGCTGGAAAAGAGCGGTGAGATCAGCAGGTCCAAGCCTTACCCCAGCACTTAAATCAAAGCCAGGGGATTTCTCTTGTGAGGGAAATGCCAAACAGAGCCACAACTTCAGGATTCCATGGCCAAGAGTCAATTCAAGGGTTTCAGAGGAATCTCTTGGAAGGGATGTCTCAAACCAGCCCATAAACATCTCCCTTTAGAGGCTCTTCTGTTCCCAAATAAATCTGCCTTGCTTATTTAGACTTGAAGCTCTTGGAGCTCTTCTCCTCCTCGATGTCTCTGTGATCTGCAATCCCTGACTACAGCTCTCTCATTTTACAAAAGCATTTGTGCCCCAAACAACCCAATCCTTCCCTCAGCTCATTCTGCAGCAAAACCACCGGGGCACACCTGAGCTTGCCTTGGAGAGGGTGAAGGCAGAGGGGCAAAGGAGCAGGGGGGAGTGCAGAGCCCCAGGGTGGATCTTGGGGTGCTGCCAGCCCTTACCGCTGCCTGGAAGCCCCTGAGGTTTGGGGTGAGCACGGGGTAACTGATCCCGGGTGATTTCTTGATGCCCTGCAGGACCTCGGTGTGATCAGCCATCTGCAAAGCAAAGAAACATCTGTGAGGGTCACAGCTGCCCCTTCTGCCTGCCAGAAAATCATCACAAAAACTCCTTGTTGTAAAGGGAACAGAAATGTGTAGGGATCAGAGCCTCTCCAAGCAAACAGAGCTGCAGCCTGGGAGGGGTCAGGGATCACCCAGCCAGACACAAACAGTGTTTGTGTGTGCCCTGTCTGTCCCTCTGCTCTGTGCAGGGTCCAAAGGGAAGCTCTGGGATATTTTAACTCCTCTGCTGGTTCTTGCCCAGTAGCAGGGACTTGGGAGCCAGTAGAACCACGGGATTGCTGCACTTTTAGAGCACAGCACTGCAAATCCTGTCTGAACACTGACCTGAGGAACCCACTTGGGGGACACGAAGCTGGTGGCCTCTATGACCTGCAGCCCTGTCTCTGACAGCATGTTGATTAAATTGATCTTCACTGGGGTGGGCACAAGATTCTAAGAAGAACAAGAAAAGAAAAATAACTTAAAGTTATTATTATTTACACAGTAAACTCTTCCACCACTGAAAAAAAAAAAAAAGAAGCGAATTTTCAACATAAAAAAGCAGCATTTAAAGAAAAACTGCCCCATTGGCGGGCACAGGGGGGCGTTTGGGGGACTGGGCTGGAGAACGCCCTCGGGAAGTGCCGGGAGCCCGGAGCCACCGCTACCTTCTCGTTCTGGAGCCCGTCGCGGGGTCCCACCTCCACCACCTTCACTCGCTTCGGGTACGCCCCGCTCGCCGCCGCAGCGGAGCTCACCTGGCACGGAGGGCAGAGTCAGCCGAGCCCCGGAGCCCCGGCCCCGCTGCGCCCCAGCCACAGCCCCGTTTGGCCCTGGCCCTGTACCGATACTCCCACACTGGCCCCGTTTGGCTCAGTCCCGGTGCCGCCGGTTCTTCTTCTGCCACGGGTTCCGATCCCCCGGTCCCGGTGCCCCCGATTCCGATCCCCCGGTCCCGGTGCCCTCGGTTCCGATCCCCTCCTGGTCCCTCTGCCCGCGGTTCTGGTGCCCCCGGTCCCTCTGTCCCCGGTCCCAATCCCCCCGGTCCCTCTGTCCCGGTCCCGGTGTCCCCGGTCCCTCACGGGCCGCAGCGATCCCGCCCAGCGCGGCAGGAGCCTCCGCGCCGCCGCCATGTCCGCCGCGCTCACGTGACCGCACACACCCCCCGGCACGTGACACCACTGGGGGCGTGGCACCGGGGGCGTGGCACCGGGGGCGTGGCACCGGGGGCGTGGCAGCTACGGTCACGTGAGCGCAGCCCCCGCCGCGCTCCCCGCATGGCACCGGCACCGGCGCTGCCGCCGCGGCCCCTCCGTGCCCGTACCTGTCCCGCGGCGCCGTCCCGCGGCGCGCAGCCCGTGTCACAGCGCGGCATCTTCCCCTGCGCCTCTGCCCGCCGCCGCGCCCGCCGCGCACTTATAGCGGCGCTTTGCCGGTGCCCGGTGCGCCGAGTAAACACGGAGCTGTTTGTTTGGGGCGGGCCCCGCAACGCGCCAGGGGTCACGGGCACCGGTGATGGGGCAGTGAGGCAGAGGCCATCGCTCCGTTGTCCCTGTTTGCCCCATTTTTTTGTTTGTAACGGCGCCACCGGCGGCGCTCCCGTGAGCGGGTGCTGGCACTCGCGGCCGGTGATGTTTGTCCCTTGCTTGGGTAACAGCGCCCACGGCACCGGCTCCGCATGCGGCCCTGCCCCGGGGCTCTGCTCCAGCTCAGCTCGGAGTGTCCTGGGACAGGAGCAAAACACAGCCTGCCTGCAATGCTGTGGTATCTGCAATGCTGTGGTGCCTGCAATGCTGTGGTGCCTGCAACGCTTGTGGTGCCTGCAACGCTTGTGGTGCCTGCAACGCTTGTGGTGCCTTCACAAGCCCCTGTGCCCTTGGGAGCAGTCCCATCGCTCACACCCACATTGTTCAACCCTTCATGAGAAGCTCAACATCCACGCAGGAGCCCTGCTCTCACTGGAACTCAAAGTTCACAAGTTCAGGAGTGCAAGCAGAAGTCACCAGTGCAATTCACAGCGGTGGAGTCTCTTCAATTCTCTAAGAACAAAACTTTTTGTTGTAGCTGTCTCCAGCAGAGTATCAATAAAAGTTTGTTGATGGGTTTGTATATTTTTCACAGATGATCTCTTCCAGCAAGCTTCCATTGGATTTATTAATCATGGAAGCAGCTGATCACAAGTGTTCCAACCAACACTGAAGTAACACAAGGCAACAGAGACTGGAGGAGAGATCCTCTCAAGTGAAAAACAGTGTATTCAACGTGAAACATAAAAATCCTCTTGGGTTCAGTCAAAAAAGAAAGGCGGTGGGAGATGCTGTAATCCCCCCACAGGCATCACTTCACACCCTCGAGCTTCACCACCCAGCCAGACTGAGGAGGGAGAGGAGATGGGAGCATGTAGGGCAGGGTTATGAGCATCCCTGTCCCTGGCTGGATCTGCCACTCCAGAGTGCCAGCAAACCCCAGCAGTGTCACCTGCAGAGGAAGGAAGGGGACACTCAGCTGGAGCTCAGCAGGCCCCCTCTGCACAGCCCACAGCCCCTGCAGGTCCCAGGAACGGCTCACGTGGCACAGGGGTGACACAGGGTGTTTGGAGGTTTGGGGTTTGTTGTTTGGGGTTTGTTTGTTGCTGATGCTTTGCCCCTGTTTGTTCAGAGCAAAGGCCACTGCGACATTTGCGTCACGGTGCCATGAGCCAGCAGCAGGGCACTGCAGCACAGCCCCTCCTGCTCGGGGGGCATCTGCTTCCCTCCCCTGCACCAACAGGATCAACACTCCCCAGGGCAGGAATCTCTGCTGGCAGCTCCTGGGCCACGTGAGCCAAAGCCTGGGGTGCTGCAAGGAGCCCAGAGCACACAACCTCCCTGCAGCCATGATCTTTTCTGGAAAATCCTTTCCTTAGGATTGTTCCTCCTGAGAAGCTGAGAGGCCTCAGGAACAAAATGTAACCAATGGTTATCTGCTGCTGTGGAATGCAACAGGGGCATCTGGGATTGGGCTCATGTGGTTGTTTCTAATTCATGGCCAATCACAGCCCAGCTGTCCGGACTGTCTGGTCAGACACAAACCTTTGTTATCATTCTTTCCTTTTCTATTCTTAGCCAGCCTTCTGATGAAATCCTTTCTTCTCTTCTTTTAGTATAGTTTTAATATAATATATATCATAAAATAATAAATCAAACCTTCTGAAACACGGAGTCAAGATTCTCTTCCCTCATCTTAAGGCCCCTGTGAACACCACCACACCTCCCCACTCCCCCAGCTCCTGAACAAATCCAGGCTGGCCCTTCCCACCCACAAATGCCCCCAGATGTGCTCTCAGTGTGTGTTCAGTCCCTTACCCGTGTGCCTGGGGATGGAATGGGTGAGGACAGGTGCAGGACATTGTCCCGAGGCCAGAGCAGGAAGATGGCAAAGACCACTGGTCCCTTGGAGGTGTACCTGGGAGAGCAGGAGTTCAGCAGGTGAAGGGCACCAGACACAAACCTCACCTTTCCAGGCAGCACAAGAACACAACTGTGCCCTCTGTCACCACACAGGGGTCACCCACTGCCCCCAACTCCAAATTTAGGAAAAGAGGAGAAATAAACATCAGCTCAGCTGTCTGAGCAGCAGAGCCCTTACCAGACTGTGTCTGTGGTGTTCTCCACCTGCACCCTCCACGGCTGGGATTCATAAATCGCCTCCCCATTGGTGTCCAGCCACCTCCCAAGGGCCAGGAGTCTCTCTTGGAAGATGGGGACAATCACCCCTTCTTTTGTAGGTCCCACATTGAGGAGGTAGTTGCCACCCAGACTCACAGTCTGCACCAGCTCCTGTGGCAGATGAAGCAAGGTAACATTACCTTCACCTCAGACAACACAGAAACTGAGCAGTTTTACCCTCATCAGCTGCTCCAGAAGCCCCTCACTCCCAGCAATCCTCCCCCAGGCTGTTTTGATGTCAGGTTTCTCACCTCAATCACGCTCATCTCATCCATCACCTCAGGCAGGCTCATGTTGCTGCGGTAGCCCCAGGAGAGCCTGTCCAGGGAGGAGCACATCTCCCACTTGTGCTCTGGCAGGGTGCCTGGCCTGTACTTGTCAGCACAGTTGTAGAAACCCCCGTGGCGGCAGGAGCAGCCCCGACCCCAGCGATCGTTGACGACCACGGTGTCCTGAGGGAAGGAAAACAGCTCAGGGCACAGATGCCTTTGTTCTTGGGCTGTCCAGCTGGCAGCCACGCCCCTGAGGAAGCCCCTAAAAATGCCCTGTGTAATGGAAACCCTCCTGAGAAGGCTGAATCCCTCCCTCTGCTCAGGCAGGAGCTGAGGCAGCAAAGCTGAGCATCCATCAAAGGTCGGTGGAGCTGTCCCAGCAGCACAGCCAAGGTTCTCTTTTTGTCAGAGAATGAAACACATTTGGCAAAAGTCAAGGAGGTTTCTGGTTTGATCACACACCCCACAGCTTCCTGCCCTTCCACACCCACCCAACGCCAGGAGGGGCAGCAGGCACTGGTACCTTGACAGGGCTGTCATTGTAGAGCCAGGCAAGGAAAGAGGTGGAATTCCAGTAGGAATCTGGAGCTTCCCAGTCCCCATCCGACCAGATCAGGTCTGGTTTGTATCTAAGGGAGACAGATGTTGTTTCATAAAGGCTCATCTGCTCCTGCCACACTCTGTTTCTTCCCCTTCCCACTGCCTGGCATTCACCAGGAGGTTTTTGCTTCATTTTCTGCTTCACACAAAGCTCTAAGGGAGGTTCTTGCAGCAGCAAAGAACAAGGTGTTGATGCACAGCTCAAAACAGGGTGCAGTTCTCCCAAAAAATCCAGAATCTGGCACCTCAAAGTGCACATTCTTGAGCTGGGACAACGACTCACAAGCCCAAGCCTTTTATTTTTGTCAGCAAGGGGAAGCAAGGCAAGGATGTAAATTCCCAGTGAAATCACTTTTCTAGTCTACTAAATACTGAACAGTTTGTTCCACTTCCAGCCCCTCTGCACAAAGGCAGGATCAAAGGGAATTGCTTTTGCAGGAAAAATTTGTCCCTGCCTTATTCTACAGATTAGACCTTCCACAGGTTAAAAGTGAACCCCTTTTCTGATTACCACAAATCATTACTGCTTAGCAAAGAGAATTTGCCTCATCAAAAATCAACATTTCTCTTCTTTGCACCCACTTTGCACCTTTCTCTAGAGAACTGAAACCAGGAAATGCTGGTGATTCTGAACTGGATGTGGCTCTTACTTTAAGACAAGGTCATAAAGTTCTGGCATCGTCTTCTTTATAACGAAGCTCTGGGTCTTGAAGTCATTTTGTTTGTCAGCGAGGTAGAGAGGATTAAACCACTCCATCAGGGAGTGATACAGCCCATAACGGAGGTTGCTGAAGGACAAAACACAGAGGGAAGAGTGAGGCTTCAGTGGGGATTGAGAAGCAGTGGAAATTAAATTACTGGCAGTATTATTTTTCATCATTTGCAAGCACTCCATTTTTCACAGGGTTTCCTGCTGTTTGTCAGGCAGAGCCAGGAGGTTTCACTGCTCTCAGAGCAGAGCTCCCTGGCAGGGCCTTACCTCTCCCTGAGGGCCTCTCCCAGCTCTCCCACCAGGTCCCGGTGGGGCCCTGTATCCACAGAATTCCAGTTCCAGGACACTGGTGACCCCCAGTTGGTGAAGCCCTCGTGGTGCTTGGTGGTCAGGACCACGTATCTGAGAGGAGAAAAGGACTTGGTTGGGATGGCAAAGGAGCAAATGAGGCATTTCCCAGCCCCACTGCAAAGCCAGTCACTAAAACAGCAAAGCACTGGATAACCACGCTGCGAGGAGCCCTCTGACACTATCCCCTGGATTTAGAACCAAATACAAGAATAAGAGAGGCTTTCAGTGGATTTTAATGCTGGGAAAGAATGAACAGTAAGTATTTAGCAAGGACCAAGACCTGTCATCTCCTCAGCACCCCGGGCACGACCACTCAGGGACGCCCAGCACTGTTCAGGGACCCCCAATCCCTCAGGAATCCCCAGATTTGCCCCTTCCATCCCCTCAGAGACCCCTGCATCTTCTTGG